GTTTGGTTTTCTTTCAAAAAAATGGGTGAATGTTTTAGTTTTAGAGCCCGTTTGGAAAACTCTGTTTTCGGCTTATCAGGCTTATCAGCCAGCTTTTTCACCAAACACGTAACTTTTACTTTCGCGCGCTGAATTGTGTAATAAGCCGAAAAAGTAAGGTTGGAGTTACTTTTCTGGCTATATTGGCTGAAGTTACTGTAGAGGACCATTTTAGCTATTTTTACATATAATTTTTTCTTTAATTTATTAATAAAATATATTTTTAAAATATTTTTTTCTTAAATCATCAGAATCAGCCAAAACAGCCACTCCAGCCAGAATATCATAAATTTCAGCATAATCAGCCAAAACAGCCGATTTTGGTGCTAAATTTAAAATTTCGGAGTTCGGACATATTGCGTTCCACACGGCTTCTGCAGCCTGCACTGTGTCTAACGGAAACTTTCGAACAAATCAAATCGTATCATGGGCCCAGCTCATTTGCCCGAACAAACTTGGGAATTTTTCATAAATAGGCTAAAAGGTGAAAGTAATATCACTTTTTTCACTTTTCAAAGTTCTTTTCAAAAATAGACTAGCTAAACTTTTCTTTTCAAAAATGTACATAGAACAGGCCTCCTGGAATCTACGGAGTATATTCAAAGAAACGTTAGCAGGGCCGCAGGCACTACGCTACTCATTTTACACCTCTTTGTTAAATTTATACAAACTTCAAGAATTGCTCAATTCATGTTTTTAAATAGAAAAAAATTAATCAAAAAAAATATTTAGCAAAATGTAAAAAAAGATGAAGGTAATTAGAAGATAATAAAACTATTAAAAATATGAAAAAACAAAAACTAAAAAAGTAATCAAATTAAAAAAAACAAATAATGTATAAAAAAATATCTAAGTTGAAAACATCTAAGTTAAATTTTAAAAAACGGAATTTAAATTTAAAAAAAAAAACTGAAAAACGTTAAGAAACATATATAAAATTGGAAATACAAAACTCAAAAGCAAAAATGAGAATGATCTACACTAAACTAAAAAGTGGAAAAGTTGTAATGTTGTTGTTTAGAAGACTTTATATACCCTTTATGACTTGTATAAAATGTACGTAAAAAACAATAAAAATATAAATAACTGAAGTTTTTATAAAATTAATAAAAAAAAAAAAGAAATATATAAATGGTAAAGAAAAAAGGCAAAAAAGAAAAACTTTCTCACAGAATGAAAAAATTAAATTAAACTCTAAAATATATATAATCTTAAAAACGAATAAAAAAATTATAGATAAAAGTTTTTGAAAATATTAAAAATTATAAAAGGCAATTGAAACTTTTATGAATCACTTATTATTTAGAAACTGAAATATATACAAATTAAAAAAATCTAAATTTTGTAAGCATGTATATAAATATTTGAAAAAAGTTAAGGAATTAAATTAAATGGTATAAAATAAGATATAGATACAAAAATATTTAAAAAAATTTAAAAAGTAGAAAATTTAATTAAACTTAAAAGCATTAAAAAATGTGTAAAATAAAAATTAAAATGTAAAAGAAAATTATACATACAAACAATTGAAAAAAATTGAAAATACAAAATATAATCATTTTTTTGGTTTCTCTATGTTGCCTATTGTTTCTTTTTGTTGCCTATTGTTTCTTTTTGTATTGTTTCTTTTTGTTGATAACTCTGATTTTTTTTATTGTTTCATTATGTATCATGTGGTTGGTTTATATTCATGAACCCAAATTTATCATTTTAGGTGTTTGTGTATAAATCTATTTAGCTAGTTTTATTTGAAGATAGGAGCAAACATAAATAAGAATCAATAAGAAACACCATGCAACAATAATCAACACATTGCAACAATCTGCAACACAATGCAACAATAAGAAACACATGCAATACAACAAAAAGAAACAAAAAACAACATATCAAATATCACAACAAATACTTAGTTCAATCTTTTACTTCAATATATTACACGTATCAAGTATATTATGTGACTCTGAACTTATCACTTCACTTATCCTTAACCACTATCAACTCTGCATTTGTTGTTTCTCCAAATATAGGATGAAAGCTCTGAAGTAAAGCGTCCATACCTTGAGTTAGAACCTAGGACAGATGTTGGGTACATGTTCAAAATCTATTAGTAATAAAACAACCTTGAATAAAAAATAGACATCTTCTTCGCTCGTGACCAAATTACAATTCCAAATCAGTCATACAAGCCCCAAGACTTTTCCACATTCTTTATGTCCAATGCAAACCATCCCAATGTATTCCTGCACAACAAGAGAATATGTCTCTACTTTAGTGGCAGCATAGATGAGCATAAAGTTTTTATGTAGGGAATTAAGAAATTGATCTAATTATCTCGTATATAATTATATATCTTGGAACCATCCATAGGGAAGGCAAATAATGCAAGCTTCCCAAGAAGTTGCTGAGGAAAAACTAAATGATCATTTTCCTTTTGTGATCTAGCAGACTGGGAGTGGTACACAAAGTAGCATGAATGCTATTGAGGTTATAGCAAACAGAGCAGGTGAAATTCTTGATCATAAACTAGGTGCAAAATGTGTACACCCAAATGATCATGTGAATAGATCATAGTCTTCCAACTACACATTTCCTACTGGGAATCCTGCACAGTCTGAGGCTCTCACAATGGTCTTTGCCCAGGTTATGGGAAATCACATGGGCCTCATAGTGCAGGGATCAAATGGCCATTTTGAGCTGAATGTATTCAAGCCTATGATTGCAAATTTTGTCTTACATTTTGTGAGGCTGCTTGGAGGTGCACGTGCTTCTTTTGAAAAGAACTAAGAGAGGAGAATTCAGGCCATTAAGGAAATGATTTCTTAATTACTACACATCTTGGAAAGCATGACTATGGTACATAATGGGGCAATATGAAAAGGAAAGTTGCCCATGCCTCTACAAAATTGAAACTAGATTAGAAGGATGAAAAATAAAAATCAAATGTGACAAACCCATTTGTTTGTATAAAGAAACATAATTCAGAATATGTAAATAAACTCATAGCAAGGACATGCATCACAGGCTCATGAAAATAAAATAGATCATGAATTGGTTAGCAATCCACTTACTTGTGATCCTGATTCCCGAAACAAAAGTAAAATTGAGCCTAAACTGTATGACACACAAATTGAGATATTTTCATGCTAGCTGCAAAACGAAAAAATTCTATATTAAATATTATATTCATGACTTAAGGGAAAGAGGAGAGAAAATTGTGTCCGACAGGGTAAGCATCCAGTGCCGAAGGAGCAAGTTGTCTGTAGGCATTCCATAGCAGATTCACATTCAATTCCTCTGTATATTGCAAAATGAGTAAATTAAAGTAAACCAAACAAAATAAGCACTCGCAACGGATCTAGTGATAATAACTAGATAGCGAGTAAACCAAATGGACGAAGCATAATACATATGCTTCAAATCACTAAGATGTGAGAAAAATAATATTTTTTTCTAATTTGAACAAGTCAAGTATCGATGCAGAAAACCTAAAAATTCAAACACGTTATGAATCGCTAAACATAACAGAAAGGGATCGATTAGACAAAGCAATACTGTAGGTGCATAAAATAAAATAAAAAATTAAGGTTACCAAATCAGCTAGAACACGAACAAATCAGGGATTGTTGAACGGAAAAGTATGAATTGAAAGGGGATATGACTAACAGAAAATGATGGAGAGAAAGGCGAATAGAAATTTAAGCAGAGAAAGGATATATATGAAGTTGATATAATGAAATCGGTGAGGCCGGGTCAGATTTACATACCTATTTCCTAGAAGAAGAAGAAGAAAACGTTCTGTTTGAGATTTTGCGTGAGAGATACGGGAGATTCATGAAGTTGATCTAACGAACTCTGTTTTCCGTTTGCTAAGAAGATACGGGAGACGACTTGTTGGGCGAGAGATTATTTTTGAAATAAAAAAGTTGGTAGTGAAAAGAAGAAAGTTTATATATGAAAGAAAAATTAACTTGGGCTATAAACGAAATGCAGCCTTTAAAACTGGCCCAAACGGGTAATTACCACAACAAACTTTATCGGCAGCCCGTATTACATGCCGCCACCTAATTGGCCCATCAATTTCCGGTCGGTTTAGATCCAGTCGGATCTTAATGAAAACATCAGGTGTCGACGGTCTACTGAACAGTGGCCCCCAGTCTCGTCTCCAATCCAACCCGATCTCTATCTTCCCACTCTCCCTCCGTAGCTGTAAGCTGCAGTTCCACTGGTTAGAAAATGGTGGCTTGTTTTAATCTATAAATAATTCTCATTTTTTTCAATAAATTGCGAATTCAAACGCGTTTTGTGATGCACATTCTACATTATAATAATTGTACAATAGGAGTTTGATAATTTCGATTGATTTTATTGTGGAAAAAGAGAGTAGATTTCTTCTTTCAGTTCCTTTTTTGGTTGTGAACTGAAGAAATGCCGGGGGTAGTGTCAATGAAAACGCCGCCGGGAGCTACTCCGTTGAGAATCATAGTTCCTGAGGGGAGTGAGAGCCAGATCGGAACTAATTCAGTTAGATCCGAGCAAGCTAACGCGAAATTCAGCTCGCCAGCTCAACGGCGGCCCCCCTCTCCATCACCTTCGTCTTCTCGAGCCAAGCCGTCTCCGGATCGGAGCTCCGGGAAGAAAAAATCGCCGCCTGAGAAGGTTGTCATTGATGAATCTTCGCTTGACAACCCGGATCTCGGGCCGTTCCTGTTGAAGCTTGCGAGGGATACGATAGCATCCGGAGAGGGCCCGAATAAGGCCCTGGATTATGCTCTCCGGGCTTCGAAATCATTTGAGAGGTGCTCTGTCAACGGCGAGCCAAGTCTCGACCTGGCGATGAGTCTGCATGTTTTGGCTGCTATTTACTGTAGCCTAGGCAGGTTCGAGGAAGCTCTTCCGGTGCTTGAGAGAGCCATTACGGTGCCGGATACATCCAGGGGTGCGGATCACGCGCTTGCAGCATTCTCAGGGCATATGCAGCTGGGAGACACTCATTCCATGCTTGGTCAGCTGGATCGATCGATTGAGTGTTACAAAGAGGGCCTAAAAGTGCAGATGGATGCTTTAGGAGATACTGACCCGAGAGTTGCAGAGACTTGCAGGTAAACCAAATCTATTTCATTGTCCTTCCGCTACCTATTTTAGAAAAAAACATTAGATAAAAATTGAGCCAAACTATATGGTTCCTTTTGAACTGTATTATATCAGTTGTAATTATAAAATGGTTCTCTAGATAATAGTGGCTATGGTAAGACAGATGAGAAGGGATAGCATTAGATCAGCAACAATTCCTTACAAAATCTTAGATGGCTGGAAAATATAGTTGGCTTTAATATTGTAATTGAGTGTCACAATAAGTATGTTAATGTTAATTGATTACTCTCATATGAATCAATGAATTTACAAAATTAAATGCTACTGCACAAATATATTTCATTTGTAATCTCACCAAGTTTACAAAAATGGTTGAAGCTTAAATTTGAAAATCCAATAACATTATTGAAAGCTAATGATTGAAACATACTACTAGTAATATGCTTTGATTTTTTAGGTTTGTCTAAAAGGGTATTTAGGTATATGTGTTTTATCCTTTTGCGTAAAAGACTTTTAATAAATTTAACTGAAAGTGAAAATATCAAAGTAAAACTAAGGGAAACTTCCCGAAATAGGAGTACTATGTTTTTAGTCCCTAAATATGAGTAATTACCGCCGAATATGGCAAATACTGCCGTATTCAAAGCTTGGTAATGCCAAAACATGGTTTAATTACTCATGTTTAGGGAATACCGGAGTAAAAATTAAAAACACAATAATCTTATTTTGGAATTCACAAATGTTTTTACTCCTATTTAGGGAAATTTCTTTAAAACTAATTATGATCATGTTTGTATCATGGTTTCACAATATAAATCTTGTAACGAGACATGATAGTAACAACTATCTAAGCTCATGGTCCTTTCATGATATTTTGTGTGCTTATGTAGGCATGTACGATGTAACTATTAAAACTTAGGATTCCATTCTAAAATGTCAAGTTGAATAACATGAAGGCAGAATCAATGGAACAAACTAACCTCTTACCCCAACTCACGAGGTTCTATGTTAAAAAGTTAACGTGATAAGAGTAGTCCATGATTAATATGTTGACTTTTTTTATATTTAGTTGTTGTGGCCCTGTGTGACCAACACTTCAACAGTAGCGACTATCTTAACTCATTTCCGTTTCGTGCACAGTGCTTATATAGCTATTTATATTTTTCATGCACGTGGAAATAACCTATGGTGATGATTGTTTATAAAGTTTCTCTCATTATATCTTATCTTTTTAAGAAGATTAAGGCAAGAAGAGCCTCCAGGGTTAAACGTTATCTTTTTTTTTTTTTGTATGGATTTATGATATTAACTCATTTTAGACAATCAATTGGAGCTTAAAAAATGCCACCCACCCCAAATATTTGGGAAATTGTTTCGTCGTGATGAGGCCTTACGGATCATGATGAGTGATAATAAATTAATCATAATCTTATTCAGCAATTTTTTATATTCTATATTGCTCCTTTCATCCCTATTTAATTTTCATTTATTCCTTTTTCGGAATGTCCCTGATAATGTTGTCCTTCCCTTTTGTGCTAAAAAAATCTTATCAATCTGAATCTACTCGACTAATCTCAATCAATAATGACTGTACGGTCAAACGTTGTACTATATAATCATATATATCCTCAGTAAAATCAATAATTTTAATGAGCATGTTAGTCCATGTGGAAGTAAATGATTGGTTCTATATACGTAATATTAAATATTTCAATGTATGGTAATTCCTATATATTAATTTAATGTACTTATTTAACACATATGCTTAATATGTCAACCATATCACTCTACGCGCTCATTAGTGAGGATGTTACATGCTCATTAATTTTTTTGTCAATAAAATGGGGTTAATGGGCATCATAGGAAGTCAAAAAATTATCATTAAACTATGTGAAAGTCAAACTAGGACCTCCTTTTAAGAGACGTAGAGAGCTTGAACTATTAATGCTCTATCCGTGTATCTGTTACAAATTATTGGTCCAAGTTACTTTTATACAGATATTAAGAACAAAATGACATTTGATGCCTTGTGAACTTTTCAATTTTACTACAATAGTATATATTCTTAATTTACATCTAATTCATGTTTACTTGTAGAATATTTACAACAGTAAACGCAAAGCAAATGGGATTATATCACTGTTTGTTTATCATTTTGCCACATATAAATAGGAGCTCATTTGGTAGCCAAAAGTGTATATATTGAAGGATCCTATTTGGTAGCCAAAAGTGTTTTGTTCTTCTACTACCTCCGTCCCAAAATTAACTTCCCGTTTGGTTTACGATGCTTGACTGACGTTAAAGCAACTCGATCCGTGCTCACACTCGGATTATTTTTAGTAAATAAAATTTACATATTCAGAAACTACATTAAAACCGCTACAAAGCCTGATCACTAAAATTTAAATTTGATATAAAAAGTACTCCCTCCGGTTCTTTTTAAACTTCAGTGTTTGACTTCACAGTTATTAAGGAAATAAAGTTGACTTTACTGTAGAGTACACTGTTGAGACACTGTTTGGCACTGTTTGGCACTGTTGAGACACTGTTTGGCACTGTTGAGACACTGTTTGGCACTGTTTTTTTCTTTGCCAAATAAGGAAATAAGGAAGTGTGAAGTTTATTTTGGACCGTCCCAAAAAGGAAAGTGAGAAGTTTATTTAGAACCGGAGGGAGTAAAAGATTACAAGTGATTCAAGTTGACCAATGAATAGTGACTGTGAAGTTGTTTTTGGGACGGAGGGAATAGTTAAGAAGAATAAGAAGAGCTTTGAATGTACTTATTTGAGTTCAATGAATTTTAACAAACAATTTTCAGTTTGAAAAGTCAGCAGATTCAGCCATATCGGCTATATAAGGCTATAAGTCGAATAAGCCTTACCAAATGTGCTCTAGATAAATAAGAACGTATCTTCAACCACACAGTTTACATAGTTATACAGAATAATTATTATGCAAAAAGCCAAACCAATCCCTATTCCCATTTTGCTCAAAACTATTAGAGCTGTTTGGCAGGCTTCATTTTTGGCTTATCAGCCTTAGCAACCCATCTGTGTCACCCAACACCAACTTATTTTAATGTACTCGCATACTCGGCTGATAATGAAAAGAGTAGATCATAAGTTGATTTGTTGTCTGAAATGGCCGAAATGGATGGAATTGACCTTTTTATTTTTACAAATTATGGTCTTTAGTTTATTTAGATATACATTTTACAATATTTACCCCATTGATGGGTGGTTTGCCTACCCGGTAAAAAATACATTTTACAATACTTTTTTTTATAGATAATTTAGAAGATTGAGCATCAGCTATTTCTGCTACAACTTAAGCATACTTAGCCACTTCAGCCATTCTAAGGATTATACAGGCTCTAATTCTCACAATTTATGCAAAATTTTCCTATGTTTTCTTTGCAGTATTACTTACACCAATATATTTATATCAAAACGAACTTATTCATATTTTTTTCATTAATTTTGTTTGACTGCATATGAAAGCATTCCCTTAATAAATTACTTTTCGATTACAATGAGGTCATATGTTGGGAATGTAGGAGTATTAGATCTACTCTAGGTGCATCTATATGATGCACAAAATTGAAGAAATAGGGAAAGAAAATTTGGAAAATGGAGAAATGATATTTTTTAAAAGAATCTGGAAATGAAAAATTGATGGAAACATGCTGTTTTCAAAAAGTGATGTTAGATCAAGAGATCTAGGGTGTGTTTGGAATTTTAGATTCAGGGAAATGCTAGGTAATGGAGAAAAAGTAGCTAGGCAAGTTATTTTCTTGTGAGGCGGTTAAACCATAAAAGTTTAAATCTTGTGAATCTAGGTATAAGGGATAATCGTTTGTGTTTCATATAAGAAATTAAGTTCCTTAATGCGGCATCCTAAGTTGCATATTTATTGGCTGCCCTTGTGGCAAATGGTTTAATATCGCAGGTACCTTGCCGAGGCACATGTTCAGGCAATGCAATTCAACGAGGCTGAGAGTTTGTGTAAAAGAACACTTGAAATACATCGAGTCCACAGCCCTCCAGCGTCTCTCGAAGAAGCTGCTGATCGGCGGTTAATGGCTCTCATATGTGAGGCAAAGGGTGATTATGAATCTGCACTTGAACACCTTGTGCTCGCCAGCATGGCAATGATTGCCAATGGACAAGAGAATGAGGTTGCTGCTATTGATGTTAGCATTGGTAACATCTACTTGTCTCTGTCTCGCTTCGATGAGGCGGTTTTCTCCTACCAGAAGGCACTTACTGTCTTCAAATCATCAAAGGGTGATAACCATCCTTCGGTTGCCTCTGTTTTTGTGAGGCTTGCTGATTTATACTACAAGACTGGCAAGCTGAGGGAGTCTCGATCATATTGTGAGAATGCCCTTAGGATATATGCAAAACCCGTTCCTGGTACTAGTGCAGAAGATATTGCAAGTGGAATGGCAGAAATTTCTTCCATATATGAACTGTTTAATGAACCCGAAGAAGCACTGAAGCTGTTGTCCAAGTCTCTGAAGTTGTTGGAGGATAAGCCGGGGCAGCAAAGTACAATTGCTGGATTAGAGGCAAGGATGGGTGTGATGTTCTATATGGTGGGAAGATATGATGAAGCACGAAGCTCTTTCGAGAGTGCAGTGGCAAAACTTAGAGCCAGCGGGGAGAGGAAATCAGCCTTCTTTGGGGTGGTGTTAAACCAAATGGGCTTGTCATCTGTGCAGTTGTTCAAAATTGATGAGGCTGCTGAACTGTTTGAAGAAGCAAGAGAAATCTTGGAACATGAGTGTGGCCCTTGCCATCAAGATACACTTGGTGTGTACAGTAACCTTGCGGCAACTTATGATGCAATGGGAAGGTAAAATTGTATTTCCTGCTCATAACATAAGGTTGATGAGATTTATCTGTCCAAAGTAAATGAAATTCCATCCTTTATTTTTTTTTTTGATACTGAAATTCCATCCTTTTTATTCTTTAAAAGAATATTAATAATGGATCGGTCCTAATCCATCCATTTGTATCATATGGATGGTTAGTGATCCATCCATTATTGCTATTGATCCATTGGACCACAACACTGCACTAAAAGAAATCTTTAAAATTCCTGCGACTGGCCTAATTTTCTACATTTAATATGATTTATTTCTATGTTGGCCAAAATTGTGAATGGATGGATTGAATGTATTATAGACTGTTTCACACTTCTAGGTGAAAATCTAGGTGATTGATGAAATATGAAATGATAGGTGAAAGATGAAATTAGAGTATATGATGATGACTTGCGATATTAAAATGATATGCAAGTTCCAGGATTAGATGAAATGATTTGTGAAAAATGTGAATTGACATAAAAAAGTTTTAATATATATATATATAAGCAATAAAATTATGGGAATTGAATAAAAGTTGGAGAGAATAGAGGATATGAGAAAAGATGAAATGGTGTTAGATAATATGAAAAGATACCCCAAGTATCTTTTCATTTAATCTACTTAAATGTTCATCCACTAAAAGTGCAGTCCGGTGCGCAAAGGCATCCCTGTAAGACGAGGCATCTATTTTTTCTACAATAGGCAACTCCTAAGACTTGAACCCATAACATCTCGGTCACACAACAAGACCTTAACTAGTGCGCCAAGGTTCTCCTTAAACAAAAAAATATCCTGCTGTAGTTTATAGATGAAATCAAAGCATTTCTTCTACAATCTAGATGAAATGTAATGAGTCATGACAAACATACTCTGTGCCCCGGAAGTTATTCAACTACTGGGAAGTAATTGACTAGCTAAATCACTTTCCTTGCCCTTTTTTAATTGCCTTTTTAGAAGAAGAATCTTCCATACCGAGACAATGCCTCAAATGTACTATTTTTCTTCCCTAGTGGAAGATTGATATAAAAAAGGGAGTTAAGTGGTTGGTGTGAACAAAATAAGAATGAATTAAAACGTACACAAATATTACTAAATATGGAATATGATAAACTTAGTGAAATGAATGAAATATGAAAGATGAGACAATGATAAGTGGACGGAGAGAGTAATTCTTTATATAGACTTGTAAGATCATGCACAGATTGTTTTTTACCTTTTAGAGAATATTAATGGGTTAATGAATTCTCTTTAATCCATCCATTATACTTTCAAATAAATAAATAAAAACAAGAAACCATTCAATTCATAAATTTCACACATAACTTTTATGACATCCATCAAATGCTTCATTGATTGCTCAATTGTATGAATGCACAGAGTTGAAGACGCAATAGAGATTTTGGAGTACGTTCTTAAATTGAGAGAGGAGAAGCTTGGAACGGCAAATCCTGACTTTGATGATGAGAAGAAAAGGCTGGCTGAGCTGCTGAAAGAGGCGGGCAAGTGTAGAAACAAGAAGGCCAAATCACTGGAAAACCTCATCGACCCTAATTCCAAGAGGACAAAGAAAGAATCGTCATCAAGGAAATGGTCCGCGTTTGGCTTTAGAAGTTAAAACACTAACTCTAAGTTTCATCTGTTTTCCACTAGCTTCAAGGAAAGCCTATTCTGTAGCATAGAATTGAAGATCGTGTATAGTGTATCCTTAATCCGGTGAGCCTTCCCTATTCCTTGTCTGGTTTGGATTGGCTTTCATTTTAGTTTTTATTATCTATTCTTATTCCGCATTTGTTTTTGGTCCAAGAAAAGACTTGAAGTCCCCATGTATTTTAATTAATTTTTTTTAAAGAAAAATTATTTAGTTGCCTAGCGCCTTTGAGTGAACAAATGAATTTGATGCCGTCTTTGTAATGTTTTTCATGCTATAAAATGTTATCATTCCAATATCATTTATTTATTATTGGCTAGTTCTGGCAAAAATATCTGTAGAAAATTTGTTGTTTTGTACAATGGTTTCCCTTTAATATTTTTAGGCGTCCGAGTTAGGTCATATTTTGTCAAAAATTCTAACTTGATGAAGGCTGAAGCCTGAAGAGTCTAAAATTGATATTTGTAATCGTGATGTGCTTGACAAGTATGACAACGATTTAAGTAGGGCTCTTTTTGAGAACTCTCCACTTCTGGTCACCTATTCTTCAAGAAGAAGACTTCCGACGACAATAATTGTAGACGAGACAATACGTAGGCTTCCATCAACTTTGGATGATTTGAGTTTGGTTTCTTTGTTATTGATTTCGACTTGAGTATCTTTTCCAGAATTTTATTGGGTGAAATATTAACATAATCGAGTCTTAAGACTCTGAACTAGTCTGATGATTGTAAATTAATAAAAAGTACTGCAAACTCAGTAATATGATTTGAAAAATATGCAACATACTGCAAACTCACATATTAAATCAGCACATTGAGAGCTCATTTGGTAACACTGAAATTGGTTGAATCGGTTATTTCTGCTGATTTATGAAAAAATTATATTGAAAATAAATTTTATTAATAAAATAAAGAAACAATTATATGAAAAAGTAACTTCAGCCAATAAAACCAGAAAATTAACTCCAACCTTATTTTTTCTTATTATTACACAATTCAGCACGCAAAATCAAAATTTACATGTTTGGTTAAAAGTTGACTGATAAGACGAAAAACAGAGTCACCAAACGGGCTATGAATATAACAAAAACATATCAAAATTAGAAATTAAATGCTTTAGTTCTCCCAAGATTTCTTATTATCTGGCTCGAATTAACGAAATAAACTCTGGTTGTGTATTATAATTAGTTTAAAAACTGAACTATATAAGTTATACATCCAATTGAGATCTGTATTATACCGGAGTATTCATGTGTAGGTTTGTACTACTTTAGAGTATGCAGCCCACATCTTGCACTAAAAAAGTTAACTACAAAATTAAAACGAGAAGTGACGCATAGAAGTAGGAAATACAATCATACGGAGTATAAGGCAACAAGAGCAGTGAACTTTCCTCAGGTTGCGTCTCCAATTGCGAAATGACTATTGAAAGTGTTTTACAAATTGTGCATTTTAGTCATGTCCCTTAATTCTTTGAAAATGTATCAAAGTTCATTGTGTTATAATTATGTTGTACGTTTTGGAACATTTTTTTTGCTATTTGATGAGCACTATTAATTTTAGCTATAAATATAGATACGGAGTATAATATTTAACTCATGCATCCAGAAAATTTTGGATGTTTGCTTAATCACTAAACCAAATCATCATGTGAAGATTTGACCAACTTTTTGCATATATAGAGTTCAGATATGTGAAGGGGTTGGTCTATAAATCAAAGTTTAGGAACCTTAGCTTTGATATCAATATTCTTAAAATTACACAAATGAGTACTAATATTTTAATTTGTACTACTATGCCCAAAGTAAATCCGGTTTTAAATTTGCACGCAGATTAAGAAATTAAGAAATGTGTGAGCTAACGTTGCATGTGCAAAAAAGAGAAAGTGAGAACAAATGATATGAACCACAAGTTTGAGAGATATGACAAAGAATAAAATAAAAATTGTCTGATTGAGGTTCGTGCAAAATAGAGAAATATCAGGAATTAAAAATTAATTGATTAAAACGAAAAATTGTAAAATTTTTGAAACAAAAAAGAAAGAAGACAAAGTTTTTAATATACGAGAATACACACATTTATTTGATATTATTTCGGGTAAACATCAATCAAGTGGATGTCGTGGGATTAAACTTCATGAGACACAATAATTATTATTCAAATTGAGAAAAATGGGGCCCCACTAGAATTAGAATCATTGAATCTGTTAGACCTAAAGTGATTCGAGAGTCGGAACCAATGTTTAACTAAAAATGGTTCATTGGTCATAGGCCGGCTAAATTTGGACTAAAATAGTAGGAGGATATATGCAATCCTAGTTCCATGAGACCATGACTAACACCTTACAACATTAGCAATGTCGATCATGATGAAATTTGGTTAATTAAACCTCAGTCTCACACACAGGGCTGGAGTCCCATTTAATGAGGACATTTCATTATCCTCCTCCCAACAAACTAAATACTCATTACGACATAAATTTTTATCAAATTTTCCTTTTTAATCGTCTAAAATGCTTTTTCTCTTTAATTTAAAGTAATGAACATGTGATTAAGTTATTATATTTCTTTGTATAAATTCTAATCACATAATTTTTACTTTGTTTAGTTCAAGTGCAAGTCAAACTTGTCTAGTTTTTGCGAGACATGATGAATAAGTAGTTAACATATAAAAGCTGGTTTGATCAATAAGGTAGAATTATATACTAAGAGAGTATCACTAAATTATGTTTATCCTTGTTAACAAAAAACCATACTATACATAACAAAATATAAACTATTCTCAACAAATATTTCTAAATTTGTGTTGAAAAATTGAACTTGATGATTAGCTAGCACATTGGCATTTAAAAAATAGGAAAACCCAAATAAGTAGCCCAGAGCAGATGATCCATGTCCTAAAACCATATTCTAGGTAATAGATTTAGAATTACATAGTAGAAGAGTATAGAATGAATGAAGATATTTTTTAGGAGAATTCTAGAGATTCATTTGTAGTCACTAGATTTGATTTGTGTTGCCAGTGTCTCATCCCATTGATTTGCTAGCCTATATAATGGTCCTATTCTGGAATTAAAATGTTACGTTTTACTCTTATTTAGAATAATTTCTTATTTTTTATCAACAATGTGAACCACAACATCCAAACCTAGACGTTATGCTTGCAAAGAAATATTGACCAAAACAAAGAAAACCACCGAAATAACTGATATGCCATTTCTTTGTCTTTCTATCTCTTATCACATATATGAGATGTGGTCACTTTTTTGTATTGTAGATACTAGCTCTAAATGTTAAACTGCAAATCTTCCTATATTTCATTTTCTTTCTTTCTTTACTCCGTACAAAGAAGTAAAGATCCGTTTTAAAAAAAGTGTGACATCAAATAGATACAAAATAAAGTTTTTTCTTTTGGTCTAGATACAAATTAAATTGAAGTTTTTTTTAATCATAAAAGAGCGATTTTTATATTAAATAGAGAACACATACAAGACAACCTTCAGACAGCTTTTACTAGGCATGGCAATGGGTCGGGGCGGGGCAGACCCGGCCCAAATGTCTCGGGCCAGGGCGGGTCATTGCGGGTCGGGTTTTTTTGACATCCCATATCCAATCGTGAACCTTATGAGCTGAGTGGGCATATATAGAGTGAGACACCTCATATAAAACAACCCGACTCGTTAAACTTGAAACGGGCAAATTTAAGCCTAAAACAATCAGAATTGAAATCATGTCTATCAAAACAACTCCAAAAATGCAAACATTCAAACCAAACCTACTCGGACTAAAACAAAAACAAGTACTACTAAAGAAAAAATAATAATGAAATACTCCGTAAATCTTTCCACAAAACTCTTTATGGTACGGAGGTGGTTCCGGATGAGGACGAGCTCTTGCAGTATAGGCAGGGCCCGGGGGGCGTAGCTAGGGGTGGCCAGCCTAGGCCCTGGCCCATCCCAAATTTTAAAAAATGTCTATATTTTAATTTTAGTTTAAAAATTCTGTATAAATTTTTTTCGAAAAATATTCATTGTACCGGCTCAGTCCGGTCCAGTATCTTGGCACTGTCCCTGAATATAGGTGAATATTAACTCCACCACCGTCCGAACGGCCGACCAAGGCTGCATGATCCAACACCGATACAAACTTTCAGCACAACCTGCTGTTTATCTGCGAACGTTATCTCCTCCAACGTAGTTGCAATCCCAAGTTTTAGAAAACTTAAAATTAGTATCATTTGCCGCTCCAGTCCCATATTGATAGGGCCGGGGCGGCGGAATATTTCAATTCTTACAAAGATGGGAGACAACCGCTAGTTTTTTTGAGCTAGGTATATCCATACCACTTTGTATAACGTATGTATTGTTACTAAAGAATTTGGAATCACAAATTAAAGTTGACAAATGATTTCTACAAGAGTAGATAAAATACACATTTAAAAATGGGAATTGGTATCATTTGAAAGACCCTTATTAAATGACACAAAGTATGAAGTAGGTCAAAAGGTGTGCCATTTGGAAAACCATGCAGGTCAGCCCTAACTGTCGCTGCATATACGATCGTTTGGTTGGGAGCTAATTAATTTGCCTCATCATTAAAACAGTCATTGTCAACGTGTACGTAATTTTCATTCATCTGACTCACTATGTATAATCAGTCGAGGCTTTCTCAACTTCAATTCTCTTCCATATCATAATCATAAATAGCTCAGTATGTCGTCAAACGTTTTAAAATGTTTTTACCTTATCCTTTGGTATTTAATAAAATTGATCTATGTGTTGACTGTGCAGAATTAATTGCGTTCTGCAAAAAAATAATTACCATCTGAATTCTCATAATAGTATGAAGTAAGATGTGGAGTGGAGTAGAGTGGTGGTGCATGGCGGCCATGAACTTCATCCGTCCACCCATATCTTAACAGCTTAGCTTGAAAAATACCTTCGTTTGGTAACTCGAATTCTCCCGATCAATATTTTTTGCCAAACCCCTCATTTTTATTTTACTAGTTGAATTAGGGATGGACCCGGGCCGGTCCGGTTCCGGTTCCGGGCCGGGCCCGGGCGGGCTTTTTTTCGGGTTACATGGGCCCGGAACCGGCCCGGGTTGATACCGGGTCCGGGCCTAACCGGGCCGGGCCGGGCCGGGCCCGGTTCAATGTTTTTTTTTTTTTTTGACTTTCTTGTTATCTCCCTACCCCCCCCCTCACCCCCACACCCCAAACCTCCCTAAAACACCCAGCCCTACCCTAGGAAAAGAAAAAAAATTGAAAAAACCAAAAAAAAAAAAAAAAAAAGAACCGGGCCCGGCCCGAACCGCCCGGGCCGGTTCAACA